GCCGGGAGAGATCCCAGGGCTCTGCCCGACGCGCCGGGCGCTTCCCTGAGCCCTCCCTGAGCACCGAGTCCCCCTCCGGCTGCCCAGGGCCGGAGCTAACGGGATTCCCTCCTGCCCTCCCTGCGGAGCCCTTCCCTGCCCGCTCTCCGGGAGGGCGGGAATGTCGGGATGAGCCTCGGGATGCGGCCAGGGTTAGTGTTCTGCACTGGGAGACCCCCACGGGTTGGGCCAAACGATTCCTCTCTGGATCCTGCACTCCAGAACCCCCGTCCCGTCCCGCCGGAGCCACGGAGCATCCTCGGGCCGCTCCCGGAGCCGCTCCGCTCGGGAAGAACAGCGGGAACAACGCGGAGAGCTAAACCCGCCCCGAGGATCTAATCCCGGGGGACATTTCCCATGGCCTGGGCCAAGTTCCTCCTCCCGGGATTCTCCCGCAGGGATTCTCGGGGCTGCTGCATTTCCCTCCCCGGCTGCGACGCCACCTCCTCGCTCCTCCAACTCTCCATTTAGGCATTTGCAATCATCATTTTTTTTCTTTTTTTAAGTGGCCTTTTGGTTCTTGTTACTATTTTACTACAAAATCGCTACCCACCCGGAACCTTCTCCCTTGCTCTCTCTCAAGGGCAAGGGCGATCGGCCCCAATTCTGGAAGTGACCGGGACCGTATCCGGACCGGGAACAAGTCGGACCCGCTCTGCTCCAAATCCCCTGGCCCAGGCCCGGTGTTGACAAACACAACTAAAAAACCCCCTTCCTCGACCAGCCCGACACCAACTGAGAACGTCACTGTTAAAAACACCCCCCCAACCCAGTAATTTTGTTTGTTTTTCAATCTTCCCCCCTCTGAGCCCGGCGCCTGCTCAGGCGCGGGCCCCCTCTGCAATTTTGGAGATTTCGGGTCTATCCGAACGCGGCGTTTTTACCCCTCGGCGCAGGTCTGGGTGTCGGGAGGCCCCGCGCGAGGCCGCGCGCCGGGCGAGGGCGGCTATAGGATGGTGCAGGGCTTTTTGTCCTTGAAGGGGTTCTCCGAGGCGGGCACTCCGACCAGCAGCGGGTCGTTCCTGGCATGTTGCTCGCAGTAATTCATCAGCTCCGAGGAGGCTTTGGAGACCTAAACGGGCCGGGAAAGAACAAGGTTAACGAGATGCCCTAGGTTAACGTTATCTGCCCTACGAGGAGAGGCTGAGGGAGCTGGGCCTGTTCAGCTGGAGAAGAGAAGGATGAGAGGGGACCTGAGCAGTGTCTAGAAGTACCTCAAGGGAGGCAGTGAGGAGGATGGTGCCGGCCTCTTTTCACTGGTGGCCACAGAACTAGAGGAAATGGCCACAAACTGAAGCACCAAAAGTTCCACAGGAACTTCAGGAAAAATTTCTTACCAGTGAGGGTGCCAGAGCACTGGAACAGGCTGCCCAGAGAGGTTGTGGAGTCTCCTTCTCTGGAGATCTTCAAACCCGCTTGGACGCAGCCCTGTGCCACGTGCTCTAGGTGACACTGCATGTGCAGGGGGTTGGACTAGATGATCCCTAGAGGTCCCTTCCAACCTTAAGCATTCTATGATTCTGTGATTCTATGAGCCCGAGGCGCCTACATGGCACCCAAGGGAGAGGCTTCTGGAGAACATCCCCTGGGAGGAAGCGGGAGGAAAACACGGAGCGCTCGGCTTTGCGCAACAGAAACATCATGGGGATGGTCAAAAATAAAAAGGGGAAATGAATATGGGAAAAAAGCGAAGATCTGACTTAAGTAAAGTGATGAGCATGGGAAAAACTCTCGGCAGAGAGCAAGAGACTGAAAAAAACAGATATTCTTGTTCTCGTTTTTAAAGGCTTTGGGATGAAAAGGAAAGAACAAAAATGCTTTCTTGGAAACAATCGCCCTCTGATGTTAAAAGTGGACTTTTGAAACCATTAGAAACTATTACTTAAGGCTCCGCTTATTTTAGTTCAAAGGGATATTCCGGGAACCGCGATGCCGAGCAAGGCGGCGAGCGGAGCGCGGGGCGGGTGGTGGGGAATGAAGCGGCAGCCCCCGCGTTCCCAGGAAACGGCTCCTTGGACACAGGGAGATGGGAAGCGCCCGGGATGCCCGCACCCTCCTGGCGCTCCGGACTGCAAAAACAGACGTGCCAAAAAAGACCTGGGGACCAAACCACCATTCGCTGCAGCTTTGGGCAAATCACTTAACCAGGGCTTCAAGAGCACGGGATTTCTGTGCCCGTTTCTTTCCTGCTGGGATTGCAGCCGGGTCGGAGCATCCCGGTTTTATCGTACCCGCTGCCTCATGCTGCTGGGGACACGGCAGAGGGGACACTAATTCCTGGGAGAGCTGGTAATGGCTCTGCCGGGGGAAGACCTGTAATTTACTCTGTTTTCCCTAAAACGGCCCCTCTGGCGGGTGCATCACTGGAGTCTGGAAACTGGTGGCCCTAAAAACAGCTACAAAACCTCAGACTGGTTTAAAAAAAACCAAAGATATTCAAAGCAGCAGCTCCTCCTGCACAGCAAGACCCGAGCTGAGGAAGGATTGGCGCTGCAGAAGTAGCAGGGACTGAAAGAAAAGCGGGTAATATTCAATTGCAGAATAACAGGGGGATTTAATACTTATTTAATCCGTGTTCCTGTGCACGGAGCGCAGCCAGAGCCTGGCCCCGGTGGCCTCGGTGTCCTCATGTGTCCCACGTGCCCAGATGGGGCCCTGGAAGCTGCTCGGGCCCCTGGATCGTGCAGGGGAGCCCCAAAATCCTTTCCCGCGCTCACCTTGATGCGCTCGATGCCGGCCTCGATGCGGAGCTGCTCCACCAGCTTGCGGGCCTGGGCGATGTTGTTAGTCGTCGACATTGTCTGCCATCGGTTCTAGGCCCCAGCACCGGAGAACCCTGCGGAACAGGAGCGCGGGGAGGTTGGAACGTCGCGCACGTGAGCACCGCGAGGGCTTCCGCGCGCTCCGCGGTGCCACCGGCTTCGCTTCCCGCTTCTGCGGGTTCCCCTTTCCCTTCATAACGCCCCGGGGCCACTTCCAGGCTCTTTCTTTTAAAAGCAGATGAAGACGAAGCCCCGCTCGCCGGCGAGGGGGAGCCCAAGGCCGCGGGGCGCCGTTTCCAGCGGCTTTCCAGGATTTTCCAGCTGCTGCAACGCGACGCGTGCGGCCGGCACGGGCAGCCCCGCGGGGAGGCTGCGCCCGGGCCCAGCGGCTCCCGAACTCATTGGCCTATCCCAGGAAAAGCATCGGAACAGAGTCCGACGGCGAGGATAAGGCTGGGGAATAGTGGATGCATCCTGCACGCTGCATCCTGAGGCTGGGGAATATCGGGATGCATCCTGCATCCTGTAACTTAGGAGAACACACAAGTACCCGCTCCTGCACTGCGCTTCAGCACTAGGTAAAAGCATTTAAAGGACCACGATGAGTGTTACAAATAAGATTTCTTGTGTTCACAGAAAGCAGCTTTTTTCCGTGCCCGCACGCTCCCGCCGCGCTGCTCTGCCCTTGCAGCCCTCGGCATCCGCTCTGCACAACCCTGAAGTCAAAACAAGATCCAGTGTCCTGTGAGATCCCTCCTCTCCTGCAAAGCTTTCCTTGTTCCTAACTTCTCATGCCCCATGGAGGCTGTGAACGCGATGCCCTCGGCTGCTGGGAAAAAAGAAATTCCAGTTCTGGAGTCAGAGGGGGAAAAAGAAATTCCAGTTCTGGAGTCGGGGGGAAAAGGAAATCCCAGCTCTGGAGGCAGAGCCATGGAGCAAGAGGGCCAGGGTGGACGGCCCTGGTGTCCCCCGGCTCTCCGGGTCCCTGGCCCTGCAGCCGCCCTTCACATTCCCACCGGGACGTCCTGCCTGCTTGGGAATATTGCGACAGAGCCGGCGGCACGAGGGCGAAACCGGCCCCCGCGCCGGGAGCGCGGGCCTGGCCCGGCACGCCCGCGCTCCGCACTCGGCGCTCCCCCTGGGCACGGGCCCGGGCACCGT